TAGTTTTTTTGTCCTCTACCCTTCCCCAGAGTACCTGTTTTATCCAGCTCGATTATCCTTGTTATCTTGCTATAAGTCTCAAGTCAGTTGAACTTCTTGGCAAGTAAAGTTTTTTTCATACTTCATGTTTCTTATGAAACTAGGAAAACCATATAAACTAGGAAAATCATATAAACCAGAAAAATAATACTAACAGTATCAAAATCTGCAAATAATTTACCTAAGTAACAACCTTGGAAACTTAGTAGTTCAGGTAAATGAGAATTTACGTAAGTGGTATTATACTGTCAATTTCTACTTTCAAAGGACTTAAGTGGAATGCTTGAGTCTTTCCCTAGATTCCTTTTATCAGTGATCAAACATTCAAGGCATTCCTCACAACAGGTTAGACAAAGTATCAACAAACTAAGAAGCAGAACTCCTATTCATAGCCAGAAGCTATGGCTTCACCAGTATAATTAACTAGGAAATAAAACCTCTCCAAAGATGCAAATCTACCCCTTTATTAAGCTAAGCAGACCTGGGTCAGGTGTCTCAGAAATTATCAGCTTGATCACTGGTTCTGAGATTGAAATATTCCTAAATCCAAAGTTCATATATACTGTCAAGGTACCAATAAACTCCACAAAATAAAAGAAATCTAAGACTAGTGTTGTAAGCAGATCAATTTCCCAAATGTGAACTACAAATAAAGAAAACCTCCCCCAAAGTTCTCGCTATCTTAAAAAAAAAAATTTAAATATGTCGAAAGAAAATGAAAAGCCTAGTGATAAAACTGTCTTCAAGGGATTTTTAATTAAGTTTGCTTTACAAACTTTACGACATCTAGTGATGTAAGTACTTTTAACATTTGTAAAAGATGAACTTGAGAAAGTAGGAGGAACTACTCTGTTTAGTACGAATATTTGAAAAAAATGCTCTTGTCCAGATTAACTGTTCTTTAAAAGCAGATTTTACCAGTTTGGCCAACTATCAAAATTGCCTCTTCCACCAAAAAATGAAATTGTTTTAATCATGTGATGCCCATGGCTACTTTTTATTTTTGTACATCTTATTGGGGAACCATCAGCAGCAACATAACTTATATTGACCTGGAACACCCTACCTTCTGGAAATGTTGTGTCAGTTGCACCAGCTGGCCAAATAATTAGCTTCATCAAAAATCATTTCAGCCCAAGCCCGAATCACAAGAAAAATCATTTTGATGGAAATATTTTACTCACTATAAAACCCAACATGAAGCTGGATGTTTTAGCATAGTCCTAAGTGACATTTTGTTGCCACAGATACAGAACTCTGCTACCTAAGGCCATAATTTGTTAAGAATTTGTCCAGTGAGTAAATTCTGTGCGGTGTATTCATAAAGTCAATAGAACAATGCTAAGCAACATAAAAATTAAGTCTTGATTTCCTACTTATGATTTACTCACATTCATATTAACAACATATATGCACATATGTATTACAAACAAATATGTAATTATTCTCAACTCCATCAGAAGGGTAAAACCATACCAAATTTCTACATTAAAATGGACACAAAACAACTGCCATGTTTGAGATCTCATTGAATAAACGACTGCTATTTATTTCCCAAAATTTATCTTAAAAGAGAGACTATCTGAATTTTCAAAACAAGAAAAGTCACTATTTATATCCAATCTCATTCCAAGAAGAAGAAAAAAGATCCTGAGGTATAATCTTCTGCTTTAATAAATGTGGCTTCTTTTTTTTCTTTTTTTTTTTCTTGAGACAGTCTCACTATGACATCCTTGTGTGGCTTCACAGTGCACAGCAACCTCAAACTCTTGGGCTTAAGCAATTCTCTTGCTTTAGCCTCCCCAGTAGCTAGGACTACAGGCACCGTAAAAGTGGCTTCTTAAGCAATGAGCTGATTTAGAAAACATCAACCTAAGGAATAAAGAAAAAAAAAATGTGGGCATCACCACCTTTATTCACCAAACTGACCCTGCAGGTTACTCACCCTCACTGGGGGGCTCCAGGCTTGCACCCGAGGCTGCTGTCCACCCTGGGAGCTCTGCAGATCTTTTGAGCTACAATTAGCCACAGTGCTGCTCTGAGCCCTTAATGCATTTGTGCAGTTGATCCCACTGCCCCCTCCAGGGCCGGGTTTCCAAGGCCTTTGCTTGATGCCATCCAGAAGTCTGACCAGCAGGATGTTACTGGGAAGCTCCTCTACACCCGAACCAACCAGAGTCCTGCACTCAGGACATCTGAGTTCATTCCGAGAACCTACAATGCCCAGCAAACATCGTTTGCAAAATGTATGCTGGCAAGGCAAGACCTTTGCAGATGCATCAAGGCGCTCCAGACACACAGGACACTCCAGAAGATCCAACAAGGCAGATTCATCCATCGTTATCTACTTTACTGAGAAAAAAAGCTTCAGAAATGCTCATAGCTGGGTGCGTCCCTTAAGATGACTCATGTAACATCCATTTCAGACTTTGCTCTAGAGTCATGGGGAAAGAAGGGAAAAAGAATAAGTGTTGTTATCTGGGGAAAATGTTCACAAAGGAGCCACGAATCAAAAAGTACACAAAAGGGCTCCTTCTCTTTAACAGTGTAGCTTTGCTTTGGACTGTGGTTCCTAACTCCACAGTGTACAATTAAAAACAAAATAGGCTTTTTAAACTATTCAGAATCAACCCCTAAAAGTATCTAGTCAGAAAGAGCTACCACATATTACATGGGATTCCTGTACTAAAATAGGAATACGCAATAAAGAACATAACTTCAACTCTGAAAGTGGTATTTATTAGCTGCGTTAATATAAGTCCTCAACTCACACGAGATGCTGAAGAGAAGCAAATGAAAGTTTCCCTGAAATTACTATTAAATCCAACGAAGTTCCCAATTTTTAAACCACTTTAGCATTTAAGAGCCATGCCTCATATGATCGCTAGTGGCAAATGATCTCAATATTAAATACATATGGTCTTAAAAATAAAACTGCTTACTCTTGCCCAACCAAAAAGAGCTGAAAGTTGACAATTCTAAAAGACACAGATTTGCTCGAAAACAGCTAAAATATAAAAGCACCCTTCCGGGCAGTGGCTGACAAACTCTAAAACTGATTTATGAAGAGGCTGTCTTAATCCCATTCAGAAAATCTGGCAAAATTAACACTAAAAGAATTTGACAAAGGAATGTTGGACTGAAACCCGCGAGCATAATGTGAAAATGGGGCCATTCAGAAGGCGGCAGTCCCTCAGCCTCTCCCGCCGCCACAGAGAGCGGCGACGTGCGCGCCTGGGGGTCGGGGGGACGCCGGTGGAGGGTCTCGACCGGGGGGCGCCAGGTGTCCGGGCGCCGAGGCCTCACGCGGCAGCCTCCCCCCTCTCTCGCCAGGTCAGGCCGGGGACAAACCCCTACACGACTGTGAGAAGTTCTCAAGGACTGAAAAATAAATGCGCAGGCTCAAGTTGCGAAACTCAGCCCCCAGAAGCGCCGCGGCGAAGCAGACCCTGCACCCGCGGGGACCAGGCGGCGTCCCCTGAGCCCGGGCCGCCAGGGGACAGCGCGGCGCCAGCACGGCCGCTTCCCGCCCGCGACGGCGAGAGGCCGCGCGCTTCGCTCCATGGGTCCGGGTCCGGGTCCGGGCCCCGGGAGCGGAGAGCAGGGGACTGCGGCCGTGACCGGTGCGGGGACGGCGCAGTGAGGGCGCGGGCCTCTCCAGCCAGGTCCCCACCGCCCGCCTACCTCGCGCTCCCGCTCCTCCTCTTTGTTCGCGGCCCCGCGGCGGCGGCAGCGGCGGCTGATGCAGATGCGGCCCCACCGCGCCGGGCTCGCGGTGTCTCTGACGCGGCGGCTGCTCCCGGAGCCTCCTCTCTGCCGCCCCCTCGCGCGCTCCACGCCGCCGCCGCCGCCGCCGCCCACTTTCCCAGCCCGGGAGGAAGGAGGAGGAGGAGGCCTCACCGCGGCGGGCGACCGGGGCCCCTCCCCCCATCTGCGCCCCCTCTTCCCCACGGTCTGAGGTACCTGCGGCCCCCAACACCCGGTCTAAGGTACCCGCGGCCCCCTCCCTCCCGGTCTGACGTCCCCGAGGCCCCCTCCTCCCGGTCTGACGTCCCCGAGGCCCACTACCCCGGGTCTGAGGTCCCTGCGGTCCCCTTCCCCCCGGTCTGTAGTACCCGCGCCCCCTCCCCGTCTGAGGTACCTGCGCCCGGTCCAGCGGAACCCTGGGGCAAGCCAGAGAACAGCGCCCGGAGGAAACACAGGAAGGCCGGAGTCTGGCAGGCGGGGTTCCCTGGGGCCAACGAGGAGCACGTCCGGGGACAGACACCTCCTCCCGGAGGAAAGCTAGCCCGGAAGATGGAGCCGCCGCGGGGAGGCGCTGGGCGTGGCGGGCAGCGGAGTGGGAAGGGGCCTGGGGACGCCGGCAGCGTCCTCCCCTCCCCCCACCACCTGTGCGGGCCTTCCCCGCGGCTCCCGGGCGCACTCTCGGTGGTCCGGGCGAACGGCGGCCCCCAGGTGGACGTGCGGGACTGGGTGGCTGCGCCTCCTCGTCTGTCCGCAGCGGCGCTACCCCAGACGCGACCCTGAGCTGGGGGCCGCCGACCCCAAACTCAACCCCGGAGTCCGGCAAGGACGGAGTTTGGAAAGCGCGCTGTCGACAGGGTCTGAGGTTTTCAAACTCGACTTAGAGGAAAAGCAAGTTAGCATTTTGTCGCTGACCTAAACGTGTCACTGTCAGAGAGTTACCCCAAGTGCCCTTCCTCAACATTGGCAAGAACTAGGAGGGAGAAGAGGATCACATAGCTGCGGGAGACCCGCCCTCCCGCAGCCGGGGGCGATTGGGTTGGGGGGGTCTCGGGCCGCCCTGCCCAGCCCGGGGCCGGAGCCAGTCGTTCCGGACTGAGGCTAGTCGCCCAGATGTGAAAATGACAACCACTCCCCGGGAGCCGGACTGTGCCGGGCAGGCTACACTCAGACCCGTCCGCTCTGCGATCCTCCTCACCTACCCTCGGCTTTGCTTTGAATATGGGAAGAAACGGCGAGCCGGAGCGCGGGGCACCGGAGATGGGACCCCAAAGTGCGCGGGTATGCGGGCATCTGAGCTGAGGGAGACCGGGAAGGAACGAGTGGAATGGGGAAGCTCTGACCCAGTCTTTAACAGAGACTGAAAGTGCGGAGAGAGAAAGATCCGACAGCAAACATAAAGCGTTATTACATCCAGTTTACAGTCATTAAAGCTGAAGCTCTGAGCAAGCGCAGTGGCTCAGGCCTGTGATCCCAGCACTCTGGGAGGCCGAGGCCGGAGGATCGCCTGAGCTCAGGAGTTGGAGACCAGCCTGAACAAGAGCAAGACCCTGTCCCTACTGAAATAGAAAAACTAGCCCGGCGTTCCCAAGTGGGCACATGTAGGCCCAGCCACTCGGGAGGCTGTGGCAGGAGGATCACTTCAGCCCAGGAGTTGGAGATTGCCCTGAGCTGTTACATGAAGGCACACTCTAGCCTGGGCAAAAGAGTGAGACTCTGTCTCAAAAAAAAAAAAAAAAACAAACTGAAGCTCAGATAGGTTAACTTCCTCTGCAAGTCAGACAGTAATACTGAGTCAAAACCCAGGCCTCGCCCTCTGAATTCCAAGTTTGGTCTTCTTTCCACCTTCCCACGCCCCCTCCTTTTGCACATTGTGGTCACATCCTTACCCCAGGAAAGCTGAGCAGTGTCTGTCTTCCCAGGGGAAAGAAGGAGCTGTTAAGCATGTGATTACTCTAGAGCTAGGGACATTTTTGTTTTGTTCTTATTTTGGTTTGGGGGAGTTTTGTAGAAAGAGCAGCACACAAGGTCAAAGAATGGTGCAGGGCTTGAAACTCTAGGCAAGAAAATCAGTCACATCCATTTTCAAAGAACAGGAGATAGTGTGTCCCAAGACTGCAGTGATCAAAGAAAGCAGCACACATCCCATGAAATATCATCTGGGACCTGGCTGCCGGGGACCTCTAGCTCATGTTCACCATATTTTTTAGACCACAGCTCTTTTATTAATGTTACTTACTCCAGCTGTCAAAGGAAGTCTTGGGGCAGCGCCTGTGGCTCAGTGGGTAGGGCGCTGGTCCCATATACTGAGGGTGGCGGGTTCAGACCCAGCC